GTAAAGAGTTGCCAGTAGGTGGCAAATTCAAGTTTTGATTTTTGGAACTTTCTGTAATTTTTCCCCCCAAAATATTTTTGATCCAAGGTTGGCTGAACCCACGAATGAGGAACCGGTGGATACAGAGGGCTGACTGTAATTGTTTTTAAAGTGTGGCTGAGTCAAATAAATTAATTTCCAAGGGAGAGGGTGCATTTTAAACTTCAATTTCTTTTTGCTACAAAATTAAAATCATCTTTTAAAACTTCCCCAAGCCTCCTAAAGGTCTGGGATACATTCATACGTGAATTGCTGGTTACAAATTAACTGTCAGGAATCTTACTTAAAGAACTATGCCTATAACCCTGAATTCATTGTTTACAAATCTAGACTGAGAAAATAAACAAACAGTTCATCAACTGAATTACTGGGTCTGTTTCTTTGCCTAAAACATTACTCCTGATTGAGACTTAAACTCATCATTACTAGGCTGAACACATTAGCTGCTGAGCATTTTATTAGTTCAGCTTTTGTAAACAGCCATTGACCTAGGAGAATTCAAATCACCCAAAAGAGGAGAAAAACCCATCTTGTCCTCTTTCCTTTTCTGGCTGCTTGGGGCGCGGCGCGGGGCGGGGCGGGGGGGGGGTGTGTGCGTGTAGAGAGTCAATTCCCTATGCTTCTTGGAAAAATGTGGTCTGAGGGCCCCTGAACTGTGAACCAGGCAGGGCTGGCTGTCTCTCCAAAGATTCAGAACCCAACAGGCCATTGAAATAGCTGGGACTGACAGACTGAGTAAACTGAGTTCTCCTGAAAAATGCTTTCCAATTTAGATATTTTTCTAGGGAGCCAAGTTCTCCGGAATAATGCCTGGCTGTTCAACTTCTAGTACCACTTGTAAAAACTTACATACATACGCTCACTATATTACCAAAAAAACATCAAATCCTTGTATTACCAATAGATGCTGGGAACTTCACATTGCATTCTAAAAAGAGGCAGAATTCCATTTGCAAGAGGGTCATCTAGTCCTCCCACCCTGGATGGAAGAGCTGCCTCCCTGCCCTCATGGCTCAGAGCACAGGGGCCACATGATGGGCTTTCTGCGCCACACATAGCACATGGTGGCCCCTCAATACACGGCTGGGCTTGCCACCAAGGAAACACCACACATGCAACCCAAACAACCCAGTGCAGAGGGGCAGGGCAGCAGCCAGCAAGAACGTGGCCAGCTGGAGAGAAAGGGGACACAGAACTGCAGGGTCACCTGCTCAGCTCCCTAAAGCATGACAGGAGGATTAGCCTGGCCCCAGGGGCAGGGGAAGGACCACCTCAGTGGCCTGGAGATGGCAGATCTTTCCCTTGGCTGAGAACATGTGAGCTGGGGGCTCAAGAATCCTGAGGATGTTCAAGGCTGGACAAGGTCCTTCGTGTTCTGGACACATGCCACCACATCCAGACAGAATGAATCCTGAGTCAGAAGCAGCTGGCACACACGGGGAAGCCTCCCCAGCAGGACTGACCCCTCTGGGCACCCACTGAAAGCCAACAGGACAGGAAGGCCATCTGAACACCAGGCTGATGGCACTCACCACATTTATGCACAGCTGGGTCTCCCTTCCTCCTAAGAAGGGTCCGTTCTCAGCCCTCACACCCCAAGTAATCAACCAAAGAAGGACTCCTGATAGGGAGCAACGGCCCCAGGCAAAAGCCCAGCTTATGCCAGCCCCAGCATGAGCTAACGACTACATCCATGGCCTTCTCTGGCTGCCCGTCATGAAGAGTCCTCTGCAGGACACTGTGGCATGGTGGCCTCTGTCCCCACGTGTCTCCTCCATCCCATGGATCTCTCTGGCTCAGGAGATCTCCCCACAGTGATCACAAAGAACACACTCTCCCCCAAGTCCACCTCACAGCCAGAAGCCTGCCCGGACGACAGTACACTAGGAAAAAAGGGGCAGGGATCCTGGGCCACTTCTGTCCCCTGACTTGGCCACCCTCTCACCCTGGATGAGGCAGGGAAAGCAATATCAGACTCCCTCCCTGCCCCCCCCCCACAGAGCTCGGCGGGGAGGGGCGGGGGCGGGGAATGTAGCAGTGATCTGAGCTCGCCGGAAGTGGAGGCTACAAGAAATCTTTGCGAAGAGCACAGGCAGAGGCCCCCAGCCCCATCAACACAAATCAGAGCTCTGGATGGTTGACTCCCCGGAGGAGAAGACATGACAGTATCTGTAACTTTATCAGAGGCGGAAGACCCACCCAGGCCCCAGCAGCATGCCCGGGAGAGAGATGCCCACCTTCTCCTGGCCACGAGCAGTCAGGGACACTCAGCCTAGCACGCGGGGAAAGGGCCGCCGGAAGCCTTCTGCCCGGCCACACCACACGGGGCCATCTCTGGACACTTCAAGGCCCCAAAGGGAGTGACAGTGGCTGAGCACTGGGTCAGCAAAGAGGGAGCGCTTTGCTGCTCCGGCCCTGTCTGTCCTGCATCCTGCCCCGCAGGTCCCACAGCAGGGCCAAAACGTGCTCCCAGAAGAATCAAGCCAGCACACAAAAGAAAAACTGCCCAGAGGAAATCTAAAACCAAACAGAGGCTGGGGTTTAGTGTTCCACACGGGCTGGGATCAGGGATCTAATCATTCCTATGGTAAATTAGCTACATTTGTAGAGACTCCCAGCACTGCCTAAGGAGAAAGCTGGAGAAATCAGATATGGCACTTTTCAATAAATATTTTAAAGCTTCTGAAAGACATAAGTGGAAAAGAAAAGCAACTGCTGTAAGGCCTGTTTTTCTGTTAAAAATTATTCCGAGGGAAGAAAAATACCACAGCAAAAAATAGCTTAAAAAGGAAAAGTCAGAAGACAAATAACTTACCAAAAAAACAAAAACAAAAACCTGTCCCTGTGGCCACCTTGGCCAGCCCACATTTTGACCCATGAAGCAAAAACTGAGCTCTGAGAGGGAAGCAAAGTCGTCTCCTACCACACCCCGTGCCCAAACACGCAGAGGAGGACACGGCCCAGGGGCCCAGAACCCACCTCACCACCGCGTGGCGGTGCACTGAGCCCTCACCACCAAGCCGTGCCGTCACAGACCGGCCCTGAGCAGTGTGGACCCAGAGGCCTACAGATCAATTCTGCTATCACTGCTGCCAATGTGCTTAAGAAATTAAGTCTCGAGTAAAATTACCTCACGTGGGTCTAAAGGCTACAGTTTTGCCAAGTTAAAGTGGGGTCACCTGTCATCCTGAACAATGACCAATCAAGTCGAGGGAAACACTTGAACTTCCAAATAACTCAGGTGGAGGGTCCCTCCTCCCCTTCTCACGCCAGTCAACCTCTCCCCATCGCCCACCAACTCGCCTACCCGCAAGGTGAAGAGATCCAGTTTTTAAATAAAATGGTCTAAAGAAACGGGAAGGAAAAGTCTTCACAAATAAGAGTGATGAATGCCCAGACAGCCAACCTACAGTTGATGACAATTATTTACAAGGGGGCGTTATCAAAGAAAAATGGTAGCACTCCCTAGAAGACTCACAACTTTTCTTCTTTTTCTCTATTTCTTTTAAACTTTCTTGTCATAAAAGCCAACTTACATTAAAATATACTTACTACAAGACAACACAACTAATAAAATATATAATAAAACTTACACAAGTAGAAAATTCTGAGGTATTTCTGGTTTGAGGTGGTCTGTGGTCGTGAAGTTTTAATTCTCTCACTCTTCAAAATTTAAACCTCGGAAGCCACATAGCAAAGCGTGTATGTGTGGATGTGTGTGTTTTGTTTTTTTAAAAAATTTGCATGTTTCATAAATTAAAAAAAATTCAAATGTTGAAACAGCAGCATTAGGAACATTCACTGACGAGAGCAAGGTTATGGCAAAACAGAGAAACTGTTTTTTGAATATGCACCTCTTTAAAGGGTCTGGAGAAAGCTGTGTTCACGAGCCACAGAAAGGGACAATAACGTCACCACACAGGGCAGAGCCAGCACTGCAGGACTCTGGGGGTCTCCAGAGGGGCAGGCCTTCTTGGCAGGCCCAACCCAGGAAACTCTCCCGCCCTGGCTGTGCAGAGCGCCCCCTGTGGCCATTTCCCTGAACTGCTCCAGGAGGAAGCAATGTACATATTTCAACTTTTCCTCATTAAAGATATTTACAGTATCATGTCTTATGAAGAATGTACTCACTAAACCATGATGATTTATACCCTTACCTAACCTTAAAATCAGGGCAGAAAAAATGTTTTGTCCTATGCCCAAGCCCAAGTGAGTGGAAAAAACTGGTCAGGGCCAACAGATGGGTCAGAGACACACCTGATTTCAGACTTTCTCCAAACCCTGCTCTTGCCCTTAACGCTTGGCCTCCACACACTCCTTCCCCTCGATTCCTGGTTACCTGAGAAGTAGTCTCATAGCAAAGGATGTTGCTCCGAATGTGCCCGGGTCCAGTGTAGCTCTGCACCAAACCCCACCCCCAGCTCTGTCCTCCCCTCCAACTCCGGTCCAAACCATCCTCATCCTCAGCCCAGTTTTTCCTCGGTCAGGACAACACCCGTTAATCCGTGAAAGACACATCTGCTGTTTCTTAAACTCACTGTCTAAAAAGGGAGAAAAACACAGTAAAAGGCGGGGGGTGGGGGGGTGGGGGGGGTGGAGGACGAGGGCAGAGGGAAACTCCTCTTTTGAGGAAGATGTGTTCTTATGTAACAGTCTTCAAAGGTTCCTCTAGGTAGAGTTTGCAGCATTAAGTTTCCTAAGACAGGAGATGGGTTTCTTTGTGTCACAGATTCTGAGACAACAAACAAAGAGAAAGAGGGAAAAATGAACCCCGAAGGGCGGGAGGTGGCCGAGGCTCTTCAGCACGGCGCTGGTTCTGCGTTCACAGCTCAGCACCTCAACGCCTGCTGACGTGTCCGCTGTTTGCGATACAGTAGAGCAATGTGCTGGTAAAAACTGATCCAATCCAAAAAATAATATTAATAATAATAATAATAATAATTATAATAATAATAAAAAGTCAAGGTAAAATAGCAGCTGCATTTTACGTGTTTGTTGGTATTATGGGATTTCCAAAACAAAACACAACTTTTTTTTCTTCCTTGCCTCTTCAGATCCACTGAGTCTGGAGATCCACTCATGTCCTGGGCTTAGATGCTCGACTCCTTCGGGGGCAGGTCCACATTGGTGACGGAGGTCACCAGGGAGACAAGACAGTCCGAGGTAGTGCCATTGACAGACCTCCGGATCAGGGACACCCGCTCCTCCACACAGCCCGCGGACAGACGAGCTTCTGCGTCGTGGTCCCAGCACTCCTCGATGGTCACGCAGAGCTGGGCCAGGCCCTGCACACCAGCGGGAGAGAGGAAACAGATGCCCTTGCCGGTGGCCCTCACTGAGGACAAGCAAACCTGACGATGTTCCTGAGGACCAGGGAGAGCCATGAGCCCACCTGCAGGGGTCTGAAGGAGACTCCCCTTCCGATAGTCACCAGCCTGAGGCCACGGGCCTCCTCCACAGCGCTGACGAAGGGTCCACTGAACCTCAACGTGGGAAGCAGGGCAACCCAGGGCCCTCCGGGGGCAGACGTGGCTGCTGCCGCGGAGCAGTGATATTCAAACGAAATCTTATTAGGCCAAGCCCAAACCACATAAGGGCCCAAAGTGCAGTCACAGTGGGAAAAGAGGAAGGCTTCATCCCACCCTGTCCCCCCATAGCCCTGGACACCTCCGCAGAGTCCAGGGAACGTGGCGTGACACCCTGTGCTGGAACCAACTGTGTGCAGCTGGGAAAGGCAGCAGGATGGGCAAAATGCCCACACCCAGGAGCAATCCGGCCTGCTCAGCACCAGGACACACTCAGACCTCTCTGGATCTGCTCCTCATCAGGGAACTGGACTGGCAACCCCAGTTTCTCTGCCCTGGGAGACTGAGGAGGTCTGAGGCAGAAGGTAAGTTCCTGGCCCAGCTTCCCTCTCCTGATGCCTAAGTTTTTTCCATTTGCGGCTCTGGGCTCCAGGGAGCAGCATGGCAGCTGAACTTGGCCTCCACAGCTCGACCCCAGACCATATGGTGAGAGCGCTACTGGCCCCAAGGATGTCCCTCTTCTGAATTAACCCTGGGGTGGCAGGGGGAAGGACTCAATGAAGCTGGAGGCAAATAACCTTCCAAGAAAGGTAATGATTTACATAGCTGGGGTCTTGTTTTTTTTTGTTTTGTTTTGTTTTTTTGCGGTACGCGGGCCTCTCACTGTTGTGGCCTCTCCCGTTGCGGAGCACAGGCTCCGGACGCGCAGGCTCAGCGGCCATGGCTCACGGGCCCAGCCGCTCCGCGGCATGTGGGATCTTCCCGGACCGGGGCACGAACCCGTGTCCCCTGCATTGGCAGGCGGACTCTCAACCACTGCGCCACCTGGGAAGCCCATAGCTGGGGTCTTTTGTGTGGTATCTCCAGACTGGAGGGGCCCAGATGCCACAGAGCTAAGCCATATTAAGCACTTATGTGATAGGTGTCCTGCCTGGTGATGTACAGTAACTCCTTCAATCTATTACTACCCTGAGGAGACAAAGGCTCAGAGAAATAAAGCAATTTGCCAGAAGTTACCCAGCTACTGACCGGCAGATCCAGGATTCCAACCAACACGTGTCAGGCCCAGGGCCAGTGGGCTCCAGGGGGCAACCAGGGCTCTGACGGAGCTGTCAGGCCCCATCGCTCTCTGTGGCCAAAACCAGAGCCGCCTCCCTGCAGAGCACTAACCTCCCCAGACGCTCCCCTGGTGGAAGGGAGGCATTGCACTAAGTGGCCTCTGACCAGGCAGGGGCGGAGGGGCTGTCCCGCTGCCTGAGGCCCCTCTCTCTGACCCTGCCACACATGGGAGGGGCTGCCCTCTCTGCCCCCCAGGCCCCTCACCGGGTGTTTCAGCCAGTGATCCTTGATGGCAGGCCGCATCTTCTTGTGCACGACCACCTCCTGAAGCTCCTCCAGTGACGGGTGCTGGCCAATCTCTTCCTCAAAAGGCAGCATGTACTCGTCCACAGGTCCTGGGGGCGGAGAGAGAGCCCGCGGGGTCACCCTAACAGCCAGCCACACCCACACACACACCCAGAATGCTCAGGGCTCCCGTCCCGCTCACCATCGGCAGCTTTGCAGCGGGACACGAGCTCCCACAGCACCAGGCCCATGGCGTACATGTCGATGCGCAAAAAGGCGTCTCTCTGGAAGTTGATGGCTCCCTCGAGCACCTCAGGGGCCATGTACCGCCGTGTGCCCACCTGCACGGGGACAGGGGAAGGTCTGCGGTCCCCAACCATGCACAAATGCACTCACAGCTGGACACAGGAGCTACAGCCGTGTGCACAGCAGGGCCATCAACAATGACGGCCGTCCCTGACGCACCACATCCCTGGGGGGCGCCGGGGTCATGAAGTAATGACGACTGTAAAGTGTCATTCAAGACAGCAGTAATCTACCATGAACTGCTGCCTCCATCAGCACCACGAGGGGCTACACAGATGATGTGTACTTCACTGAGACGCACGCCAAAAGCAAAAGGGGGAGAATACTTAAAAATAGTAATAGCCGTTGTTTTAGGATGATTCGCTTAGGCTTAACCTTAGGTTACTTTTTCTAGGTTTCTGGTTTGGATTCTCAGTATACTCTTATTTATCTTATTTTTATCTTGTTTAATAATTACAACTGAAAGAGGAAGGGAAATCTGTTTCTCACTGGCTGGCCTGGGAAACCACACCACCCTCCAGGCCTCGCTCTCCCCACTGGTGAAACGAGAGCATTGCCCCTGGAGCTCTCAGACAGCTCTGAGTTCGTGGGGCAACCCCTGCCCCCTGCCAGCTGAGCACCAGAAGGGCAGTGTCCACCCGTGCCCCCACGTCTCGCACCCCCTGAGGCTCGTCACCTGCCCATGAGTGTCCCCCGGAGGTTTCCCTGGCTCAAAACGAACAGCCAGGCCAAAGTCAGCGAGCACGGCCGTGAGGTCACTCTTCAGCAATACATTCTTGCTCTTAAAGTCCCTGTGGAGACAATGGACTGAGACAGAGTCGAACATGTGGTCCAACTGACCCTCCTCCTGGCTTCCCACCTTGATTCCCAGAAACCCCAGGCCAGGCCATCCCACCCGTGGGGAGCAGGGTCTGCGCCAGGGTGGAGTTCCATGAAGCTACACGGGCAGGCAGCTTTAGGACGCCTCCCTCCACTGGTATGAGAACCCAGAACTGCACTCCCGCCAGAGCTGCAACACTGACCCCAGCCCGGTGCCCAGCATCGAAGGCCAGCCCTCACATTCTCAGAGGGCTTGAGGAGGGGGCATAGCAGCCAGGGATGTGAGTTTTCTGGGAAGAATTTACACTATTTGGGATGTGAGTGAAAAGAGAAGTTTCAGTGAACTGGCCTGGGTTCCGAGCAGGCCCCCGAGGCTCGAGCCGCTACGGGAGCAGCGGAGCGGGTGCTGAGGTTGCGTTCAGCCTGACCCCTCCCTAGCAGGTCCTCAATCTCCCCGCGCCTGTCTCAGCCTTGCCGTGAGGGCTAAACCGATGGACGAACGTTTAGGGCCACCCCTGGCACACTTACTATGCACTACCGTTAGGTGGAACCATATGGAAGAGTCGACATTCAACCGTTTTTGACCTACAACAATGGCAATTTCATACAGTCAACCTCCTATGTCATTAATGTCATTACCATCGGGGCCCTTCAGCTTTGAACCCTGGAATTCGAGGCTCACTCCCTCCCTCACAGCCACAGAACCACACTACACTAGGTCTACTTCTCTGCACCACTGTTCCTTCACCTGTAAGACAGGCAGAGAAAAACAGTGCCTATCTCACAGGGCAGTGATGAGGCTGAAATGACTTGGTGTTTCTAAGTGCTGAGAGAAGTGCCTGCCACTGTGGTGAGGAGGTGGCACAGTGGCTCTCAAAGCACCATCCAAGGACCCCAGTGAATCCCTGAGACTGTTTCAGGGGATCTGCAAGGTCAGCATTCTTTTCATAATAATCCGTTATTTGCCTTTTTTTAAGCTCATTCTCCCAAGAGTATAGAGTTTTCCATGAGGCTACACACACATGGCATCACTCTGACAGTTAATGGAATATGTGTGCTCTAATACAGCAAATATCAACAGACATAACCCACAGGAGTGTAAAGGAGTGTAAACCAAAAAGTTTGAGACCTGCTAAATCAACTCTCCAGTTAGTCAGCAGTTGGCACTTCCTCCTGCGGCCACTGGAGGGCACCAGAGAACTGACTTACAAGGCCACAGCCTGCAGGGGATGCGGGCAGAAGGCAGGGGAAGAGTCAGGTGGGCACAGGGTTTTGTGCGGTTGCCTCTGACACACCACAGAGCAGCTAACCACGTTTATGAAACTGAGACCCCCAGGCCCTGCTCTCACCCTCCAACCCTCTCTGCAGCTCCAGGTCAAGCGCAGAGAGGGCAACTGTTAACCCAGGTACCTGTGGGCAATAGACGGTTTGTGGCCCTCGCCACGGCACCAGGGCACATCCTCGTGTAGGTATGAGAGGCCTCTTGACATTGTCTCTGCCACGTGACACAGTTCATTCCATGTGATGATGTTCCCCTTGAGGTAATCCGTGAGGGAGCCCTAGAGGGAACAGCACAGACTCTGGGCACAGGAGGACAGGATCCAGCCCAGCCCCGGGAGGGCCATCTCCATGGACCATCGGCTGGGCTTCCCACCCCCAACCCCCGGATGCTGGAATTCATGAGGCCAGGAGGGGTTGGGAAGGGGGTGTCGTCAGAGAGTGATAATCATGAAGTCACTACTCGCATTCGTAAGAACTGATCCCAGGGCGAGGGGTTCTTATTGCAGACCCTCATGTCCACACCCATGACGGGCGACCTCAGGGGAAGGCCAGCGGGGCCCACGGTCACCTCCCGTGGGAGCAGGATCCACAGGGTGTGCTCACCTTGTCATGGAAGGCCGTGATGAGCCACAGCTCCACCTCCAGGTTTGAGCCTCGCTTCTCAGCGGCAATGAACTGCAGCAGATTCTCATGCTTCATGCCAGGTGTGCTGAAGATCTCCCTTTCACTCTGCCATGACTGCTTGTCCTGAGGAAGGGATGCGGCTGAACCTCACCGCAGCCATGCCACCTGCAGCTTCCCACTACCCCCAACCTCAGCCTCTGTAAGGGAGGTGGAGCAGGACTGAGCCAGGCCCAGGACCCCAGACCAACAGTGACCCCTGAGATCACCAAGGCCAGCACCTGATTTACAAAGGGGGCCACTGAGATCCAGAGACAGAAGTGAGGAGCCCAGGACCACCCAACCAGTGAGAAGCAGAACAGGCCTGGCTTTGCCAAGTGTCCCAGGCAACTGCTCGGGGTAGCCTGGTGTCTAGGGCCCCTAAGCAGAACCTGATGGCAAAACAAAACCCTGAAAACCAGATTGAGGTTTTGCAAATCAAAGTTTTGCGAAGCCCTACCCTAGGCCCACGGTGAACATCACCACCCCCAATGGGACCCACTCCTCTCTCATCCCAGCTGTACAGGACGTGGACTGCCCTGGGGCAGAGAGCTTGGGCCCCGCAGGCACACACGCACCTGGAGTGGGAAGATCTTGACAGCCACAAAATCATTCATGAGCTGTGCCTTCCAAACACAGCCAAAGCGCCCCCGAGCCTTGATCTCCAGCAGCTGCAGTGGCTTCAGGCCCACCAGAGGGGATGGGGGTGGAGGTCCAGGATCCTGGGGGGATCGAGGGCTTAATAGGATCTGGCTTGGCCTCCCCACCTCTACCCTGCCCGGCCCCAAGCCAACCCCATCTCACCTCATGGATGTCCACGTGGCCGTAGGGGGGCTTGCGATGCCGGTACATCCAGAAGGCCAGCAGGACAATGAGGGAGAGGCCCCCGATGGGCAGCAGCGAGTAGGCCAGCACAGTGAGCAGGGTAGGGGCTGTCGGGGGTGGCTCGTACGTGACTGGGGGACACACGGAGCCCAGCGTCACACAGCCCGCCTACCCGCACACCTCCAGGGCCAGACCAGAGAGCCCTGCGGCTACTCCCCACCCCACGGAGGAGCTGAGCGTTCGGGGCGGGGCCAAGGCTGGCCCACATCGCTCCCCCCCACCTCACCTTCTGGGCCGCCCGCCTCGGGCAGGTGGGTGAAGCGCTCGTTGCAGAAGTTGCCTTCGCAGCAGCAGAAGTACACCTGGGGGTTCTCCTCGGTGGCCACGCACTCCTGCCTGGAGGAACAGTTTCCCACCCGCTCCTCAAGTGAGGGACAGCCTCCCTAGGGCGGCCCAGCCAAACCCCTCCCCACAAAGAACCCCCCAGGGAACCAGGCGGGGGGCAGGGGGAGAGTGTGAGCCCACTTCTAAAGCGGGACCCAGGGTCAGGAGGGACAACAGAGGGTGGACATGCACCCAGAGCCCTCCTGGGGACCTCGCAACAGGGGCAGGGACCCAGCACCACCCCTGCTCGCCCAGGCTGCCACGAGAGCCCATGTGTCCCCGCCTCGGCTCCAGATACCCAGCGCCAGGGGCACTAGCACCTGTCGTAGCAGTTGAAATCGTCCAGCCAGCAGCCCTTCTTGACGAGCTCGATGGTGCCTGAGCTGTTGCGCCAGGAGGCGTAGCAGTGCAGCCGCTTGTCCTGCTCGCCTTCGCAGCGCTCCAGGCCGCTCTGGTTGGTGCGCTCTAGCTCCCAGTTGGCGTTGTAGTAGATGCACTCCCGCGTCTCGGCCTCCCCGCGACCGGAACCTGTGCCCGGGGGAGAGAGCTGCTGCTGAGTAGCCCCAGGCCCACGAGGGAGGCAGGGGGCCAGACTGACAGCCAGATGCACAGTGGGGGGCTCCTGGGTGGGAAGGGGGCTGCTTCCCTGCAGCAGCAGCAATGAATGGAGGGGCCCTCAAAACCCCAGGGCACGGTCAGAATCACTGCGTCATCCGGGTGGGGCGGGAGGGTGGTGCTAAAAATACATATCCCTGGAATGTCCCTGGTGGCTCAGTGCCTAAGACTCCGTGCTCCCAGTGCAGGGGGCCCTGGTTCGATCCCTGGTCAGGGAACAAGATCCCACATGCATGCCGCAACCAAGAGTTCACATGCCACAACTAAGGAGGCCACGTGCTGCAACTAAGGAGGCTGCCTGCCGCAACTAAGACCCTGCCCAACCAAATAAATTTTTTTTTTTTTTTTGCGTTATGCGGGCCTCTCACTGTTGTGGCCTCTCCCATTGCGGAGCACAGGCTCCGGACGCGCAGGCTCAGCGGCCATGGCTCACGAACCTAGCCGCTCCACGGCATGTGGGATCTTCCTGGACCGGGGCACGAACCCGTGTCCCCTGCATCGGCAGGCGGACTCTCAACCACTGTGCCACCAGGGAAGCCCAAAAGAGATATGGGAACATATATATATGTATAACTGACTCACTCTGTTATAAAGCAGAAACTAACACACCATTGTAAAGCAATTATAGCCCAATAAAGATGTTTAAAAAAAAAAAAAAAGAATGCATATTCCTGGGCCCTGCCCATACCCATCCATTTGGAGTGGGGGCAGGATCTACGTGTTTTTTTTTTTTTAATTTTATTCATTTAATTTATTTATTTGGTTGTGCCGGGTCTTAGTTGCGGCAGGCAGCCTCCTTAGCTGTGGCATGAGAACTCTTAGTTGCGGCATGTATGTGGGATCTAGTTCCCTGACGAAGGATCGAACCCGGGCCCCCTGCATTGGGACCGTGGAGTCTTAACCACTGCACCACTAGGGAAGTCCTTGGATCTATGTTTTTAACCAACCCCCTCTGTCTTGGGTGGCTCTGATGCAGACCTCAGGAACCACGTCTGAGAAACTAGGAGGGCAGGTTCCTGCCGCTGAGTCTCTGCCTTGTCTCATACCAGCTCCACTAGTGAGAAACAGGGCTGAGGGGATGGGGTGGATCTCGGAGACCAAAGGCTAAGTAAGTGAGCACCAGGCGCAGGGCCTAGGCTGGTGCCGACAATGCCCACAGGCTCCTGCCCACCTGCAGCAGCATTCGGTGGCTGTGCTCTGCAAAGCCCCCAGTCCAGAGGGCTCAGGGGGCCCACTGCATCCATAGCAGCAATTCTAGTAGGGGTCCCGGGAGACTTGACCTGTGGGGCAGACCCCCAAGCTGGGCTTCTGGGCTTAGCACAAGTTATCACCTCTGGCTGCAAGATGCTCACAACTTTCTCCTTTATATTTTGGCTCTTCTCTCTCTACTTCCACAGGCCTTTGTGCTTCCTCCATCACCTAATTTATCACCCTTGACTAATTGCCTGTTGTTGTTTAAAGGATTATTTCAGACATTCAAGAAGTATAAAAATAATGTAACCAAAGATAACTCCCCAGAGAAAATAACATAATGAACACTCACGTAAGAAACAAAACAGGGACTTCGCTAGTGGCGCACTGGTTGGGAATCCGCCTGCCAATGCAGGGGACACAGGTTTGATCCCTGGTCAGGGAAGATCCCACATGCTGCTGAGCAACTAAGCCTGTGCGCCACAACTACTGAGCCTGTGCTCTAGAGCCCGCGAGCCACAAGTGCTGAGCCTGCGTGCCACAAGTGCTGAAGCCTGTGCACCTGGAGACCATGCTCCCCAACGGGAGAGACCACCGTGATGAGAAGCCCGCACAGCACAACGAAGAGTGGCCCCTGCTCGCTGCAGCTAGAGAGAGCCCACACGCAGCAACGAAGACCCAACACAGACAAAAATTAAAAAAAGAAATAATTAAAAAAAAAAAGAAAGAGACAAATCATTACAAACGTGCTTGACAACCGCTTTTTAAATGTCAGGCTTCCCCCACAGGACTGCAAAGCTGATGATTTAACTGCAGAAGCCTTGACTGTCTTGAGTGCTAGAACCAGTTCCAGACACAGACCGGATAGATGGATGGATGTATGGAAGGAAGGAAGGACCAACGGTCAGACAGAAGGACAGAGTTATCTCCTGGCTACAGCAGGATTCTGAAGGGAGGGGAAAACAGGAGGGGTGGCCTCAGCCTGCAGCCCAAGCCCTAGGGTCCTCAGGGGAGCTTCCATCTCCACTCAGACAACAAGCCCCCACCCCCTGTATAAGGCAAGGAGCCCGAACAAGAGAGGCCAGCAGACATCAGGAATGGCCCAAGGCTGGCCCAGCTCCTCTCTCCAAGCTGCTGATCAGGCAGAGACCCCTCTGGCCACTACCGTGTGGCCAGGACCCAGGTGGTCAGGGCTGAGAAGTCCAAATCTCAAGGCTCCAGGTAGGACCCAAGGGTTCAGGATGACACTGGACCCCCACCTGACAAGATCCTCCTACAGACCAACTGGAAACAAAAGGTGCCCATGACCCCATTTAAGTCCTGGTTCTGATGCTTACTGGCAAGTGATCCAGCCACCCCGTGCCTCCGTTTCCCCACTCATGAAAAGGGGATGATAACAGAACCTACTTCCTTGGCTGTTCCAAGAGCAAGATGAGTTAATGCATTTTAATGCTGGTTAGCACAATGCCTGGCACGTTGGCTGTTACATTAGAGCCTGACACGCCCTGCTGCCTATGCCATTTCGTCACAGCACAAGCTCCCTGCCCTGTCAGGCTGGGAGTGTGCATACCCAACCTGAAAGAGCTTCGCATTCAGAGCCCCAGGGGGACCAGGGGAGACTGGGAGACTCCATGCCCCCCCTCACCACACCCAGGCTCTGCTGCCAGCTGGAGAGGGATTCCCCCTCCTCTCTGGCACTCCGCTTCTGCACACACTTAGCTATTTATAGCCTCTGGCAACACTCCAACCACAAGGCTGCCTCCACCTTTTAACAGACACAGGGTTCCTGCCCACACTCACAGAGCCGGGGCCCCCTGCAGAGGAGGATTCCCGATCCCAGCCCACTCGCCCATCCCGGCAGGCGAGGAAGCTGTGCCCCCTCTCACGTGCTGCCTCAGAGCCCTGTGGGGAACCTCCCCCCAGACACCTGGGCAAGGGGCTCACTCTACCCCTGAGCACCAGCCAACCCAACCGGTAGCCTCCAAAGGAAGCAGGTATACAAGCGTCAGTGTCCCCAGCAGGCAGTCCTTATGTTCCCAGGGGCCTACACCTCGGTAGAAGATGCCCCCAGTCCAGGGAGAAAAGAGAAACTCCGCTCCTGGACACGCACCACCACCAAAAGAAAGAATATATGCAGATTCTACTCAGAACCCACATTCCAGGAGGGGGATGAACCTAAATGATGGGCTTTGACACTTGAGGTCTATTTCCCAGGCCAGCTGACTCTGGATGCACCCGACTTGCCCTGGGGAGACAAGGGGAAAATCCAGCGGGGAGAGGGAGAGGGATGAAGAGGTGAGGCAGAGCCTTGGTGGGAGGGTTTGGAGCTGGAGGGGCCACGCCTCCCCTGGGGTCCCCCGAGCTCTGGCCTTGGGGTGCATCTAGCTCAGCCAACATCTCCCAGAGGTAGCGCGGACCCCAGTAGCCAGTGGGCCACCGCACCCTGCCCCCGGCTCCCGGAGGCCCCTCGGCAGCCCCCGCCTCCCTGTGGGCGCAGCCCACCTACACTGTAGAGTGGTGAGAATATGATGCCAGCCGCCACCACGTCCCCCTCAGGCCCCTTGCACCAGCGCACCCCCCAGGAGCCGCCACGCCCAAGAGGGGGCCGTGCGAGGCAAGCCTAGCCTTCTCCCTCATGGTCCAGCCTCCAGGTCTGCCCAGAGAGGAGGGGCAGCACCCCCCACACACAGTGGCCAGGCTTTCTTCCCGGGAGGCCCTGCTTCAGGCTCCCCAGCCCTGCCCCCTCAGGGGGCCCTGCTGTCAGCTGAGCACTTGCTGTCCCCACAGGTTCCTCCAGAGGAGCCAAGGGTCCTGAAGGTGAGGGCTCCCTGCCACAGTGTCTGTATCCAAGTTTATGACTCCACCTCCCCCAATCCACACAGGAGCATCTTCACCATCTTCCCATGACCAGAGTGAGGATGGCCCGTGGCGGGGGGGGATCAAGGGAACCTAAATGGAGGTGAGGGGGTGGGCAAAGGGGAGGGCTAGAGCATAAGAGAGACAGACAGACACACACACACACACACACACACACACACACACGTGTGTGTGTGGACACGCAAGGGTGGAATGGCACATACATACAAGAGGCAGAAAAGAATCCTAAACGTGCCTACATTTCTTTGAACTTCTTTCACACGAGAGGATAACTCTACCCAAGTTATTAAGTGTCAAAACCAGGTTTTGAAACCAGGCAGCCTGGCTCTAGAGTACATGCCCTTTACATGCTCTGTGATGCCTTTATTCTCGCTGCTACAGAACAGTCCACTGTATGGCCTGATCACAAACTAAGTGTCCATCCTCCTGTTGGACCTTCAGGTCATTTACAACATTTACTGACTTAAGCACTGCCTCTGTGAACCCTCCTGAATCCTCTTTTGCGTGTTTTCTGGTGCCCATGAGCGTGCATTTCTCTAGGAAATACAGCCACACGTTAGCGATATGGGACATAAGGATGAGCATCTCCAACTCACTGGATACAGTCACACTGTTCTCCCAAGTGGATGCACCAATTTATGTGCCCAACAGACTCCAGCCCCCCTGAGCCACACCGTCAGCCCCTGATATGTGCTCACCTGGTCAGGGTGAAATCATACCTCATGGTTTTGATCCACATTTCCTGACTGCTTGTGAGAGTGATCGTGTTGGTGTTCATCAGCCCCTTCTGAGAACTGCCTGTTCGCACCCATTCCCATTTTTCTGCTGGGCTGCTTTTCCTTTGG